CCTGTATACAAAACTGGGAACAAGCATCACTTCACGAACTACAGACCTATCTCTTTACTTCCCCAATTCTCAAAAATACTAGAAAAAGTATTTAAAGTTTTTCTCGATTGCTAACACACGTTTTTTTTTTAATTGCTCAGTTTCTCAGAACACTAAACACAATTCACAAAACCACACACCCAAAGTGCAAAACACCTCCTTTCTCCTGCTAAATGAATAACTGCACTCAAAACTACATAAACACTTACTGTACCAAATGCAAACTTTTGCACCAAATACAACACACTTCATTCTTAATACTAGATTGTTTGACCACCCAACTACACACTGCTGAGCATAATCTAAAGCACTTTCATCTGTTATGGGCTATGCTCTGTACATAGAGGTTTCTGCAGAGAAAGATTGCTTGAGTATACAGAAATACAGTAAATGAAGAAATACAAATGAGTTTTTGAAAAAAATCACATTTTATTCAAAAATAACATTGTGCAACATGCATCTCAGCTCATAGTTACTATGCTTCGGATCTCTCTAAGTGTGATGCATTGTTTGCTAAAACCCAGTTTGTAACTGCTGCTTCCTGTGCCTCATTGAAAATCCTTAGCCTTCCACCTGCACCTCTTTTGTTCAGTCCTTCAGATGAACAATAAAGACATAGTGGATGGTTAGTGTCTGTGTTGCGTACAAGTAAGTCTACCACAGTGAATTGTGTAGGATTTGTGTACAGTTATAGTATGCAACATGCCAACAATTCAATTACAGTAATGAAGTAAATACGTTTCACACAACAGATATAAGCACTGATATATCATGAATTATGCAGAGCTAAAAACTGGTAACTAACCTGTTTTCAAATCTAAGTGTCCGGATTACAGAGGCAACAGTAAATCGGCTTAGATTAGGCTGAACCCTCTGAACGCCCTCTCCCTCCAGCTCTACCTCTACCTCTCATTCTTCCTCCTCTCACTCCCACCCACCTCTTCCTCCTCATCTCACTCTCACCCACATCTTCCTCCTCCTCTCACTCTCACTCTCAGCCCAGCTCTTCCGCTTCCTCTTCCTCTTGCTTCCATGTTGGCTTCCATTGTTGCTGTAAGAAAGTACTCACCTGTGGTCTTTTTATAGTGCTAACATCCTGATTGATGAGCCAACAATTATGCTATCAGGTGTTTGGTCAGGTGGAACGTGTTTCTTGATTATTGGTCCATGTGTAAGGCCTTTTGAATATCATTGTTCTAAACCTGCTAACATGTGACTTTATGTCAGATTCGTGTCTTAAACGTAGAAACGTGTGCAGTGGTTTGCAAAAAATGCCATGTTGATTTGCAAATTGTGTGAAAAGCTGAAAATGTGTTTAGAGTTTTGGAGATTTGAGCCAATGTTTTGCTTTTTGAGTGTCAGTTAAAATAATTGTGCTTTATGTATAATTTTAGTGTGTTAGCAATCGAGGCATTTAATCATTTTAATTGTTGCTTTACTCTTCCTTCCCTTCTTCACGATACAAGGTTTTTGTCATTGTTTGTTAGCATATGGCTAACACTGATATTCAAAGAGTGTGGGGTTCAGTGTCTTGCACAGTATATTGCTGACAAGTCAAATAATGGATGAAAAGAAAATGGTGATGTAGGTTAAAGGGTAGAAATCAAAACTCCCTCTCATCATAGCCGAGTCTTTGCGACACCTTGTTCTCTTCAGAAAATAGATATTGCACCAAAATCTGTTTAATCCTTGGCTTGAAATTCAGAATCCTTGTAAAATGTCTGTTTTAATAAACACAATAGGAAATGAACATAAACTGAATGGAAATATATGGAAATAAACTGCCAAAGAGCAATATGTCAGTTCTGATATATTCAGAATGCGGATTTAAAAAAAAGTGATGCATTAATGTAGAGCCCTGTGTGATGCTGAGTCTATAATTCCTGTATACACGAGTGAGATATAATGTGTTTAAGCTTATATCCCCTTGTAGAATAACTGTAAAGAAACACCATGCTAGTGTGTTGTGGCAGGGGGTTGAAATGCATGTGTGAATTGATGTGAAAAAGCTGATGGATATGTGCATGTGTTTATAGCCGTGTGTGTGTGCAATGAACATTCATTTCACAGGTCAATGAGTCTCGGATGTACACACTGTTTGTTGACTAGACTCTATTAGATGATTTGGATGCTTCGGATTTAAATGACACTGTAATGTCTACATGTTTCTGCCAGGCAGTGCATGATTTCTATGGGAGGGAAAATTCAAGTTTAAGGCATTTAATCATTTCTATTTTTCCTTTGCTCTCCTCAGTGTCGGACAGCCAAGCAGCAGGAGTAGGAGGAGGGTCAGACTCCTCCCAGACCCGTTTCTCCTCCTCCCTGCCCACTTACCTCCCTGTCCAGTGCCAGTTAAGTGGAGCCGACTCTGCCTTCTTTCTGCGGGAAGCCAATCAGGAGGTCATGCGAAATGGCAGCCTATCATCGCGGACTGAGCCCTTCTTCCTCCACCAACTGGAGCCGGCCGTGGCTGCTCCACAATCCCTGCCCAGCGTCAACTGCAGCTACGGAAACCTGAGCATTGAGCAGCCAATCCCTGTAGAGCTGCTTCAGGGCCCAGCTCCACATCTGTTGCCGACAACCAACCAGGTGACTCTGAACTGGAAGGTCAAAGGTCAAGTGGTGGTCCCCAAAGTTGGCTCAACAAGGCCCTGGATACAGGTACGGGCAGTTTAATGTTAAACTTAAAATGTTTTTTTTATCTTTTTCTTTAAAAAATCCTCTGCTGAAAACAAATAAATGTTAAGGATTGACTTGTTATGACAATCTCATAACCAAATCATAATTAAATCCAAACCAGAGATAATTAAAGGGTTCAAACTAGAAATGTATCATCTGTTTGTTGATGCATTTTAATTATTATATTGGTGTTATTGCCTACTTGAAGCTTCTTCTTTGGCTTACAAAAAGTGAAGTTAATTGATGTAAAAATGCAGAGCAGAGCAGCTTTAAAGAATGCACTCATTAGTGCTAATGCATAAATCTGTCGGCACAGAAAGAAAGAAGAACATTTATAAATAAGAGTAGAAAATCATTAAACTCGCCATTGACAACCCATTGTTTGTATTGATGTGTTAAGACGTGATTCATAATTTCAGCTGTCAATTACAGTGTAGGACAGATAATAATTTTTTTTTTGGCTAACTTTTTATCTTCTAATCCTCCCATTATGACATAAGCATTATCTGTAAATAAATATATGTTTGTTTTGTCCTCAGGTATTGTTTTACCTGGTAGGGCGACGTTGGGATGAGCCCGACCCCCCTCCTCCAGCCCTCCTCCCATGTGTCAGAGCCATAGCCATCCGTGACACCAGTGAAGCAGCCCCCTCGGCGGGCTGCCGACTCATGGGACCATCTGGCATCTGTGTTGTCCGTCTGGAGATTCCCCCAGCTTGGTTTACACCACCACAAGTGAGAAAAAGACCTCCTGAAGTGACTCTACCATCAGTGGATGTGTATTACTCCATAATACCAATGGAAAGGACCGGTCAAGAGTGTCCTTCCATCGTTAATGAGCCATGGCGAGGTCAGAGCGCTAACACTGGGCCTCTAGGACTGGGCCTTGGAGGACAGTGGAGCCTCGGGGAGGATGTGAGTCTTCAGGACATGCTGAAAGCCGGCTCAGTGGCGATGACCTTTGGCATGGTTTCCGCCAAAGGAGAGAAATTGAGACTAGATGAAAACGTAGAGGTTCTGGTGCCGCCCAGCCCGGTTCGGCTCGGCAAGACCGTGGCGTTTGGCGTCTACATGAAGACTGGTTCGAACACGGAACAGTTTACTCTGAGGTAGGAAAACCAATGCTTTCATATAAGTTATTTGGCTTTGCTTCTTGTATTCTTTTTATTTTGTTTTGTCAGATTTCAGTTTTCCTTTGGTAGTTTTTTCTTTCCTCCTCATCTGCTCTCTCTCATCTGTCGACACTGCCGCCTCGCGAGGTTGACGGCTGTCACCTTTGTGTACTCAGCCTCTTTCAGGAGCCAGCAATGCAAATAACAACCTCATGAATATTCATGAGTGATCCAAGGAGAGAAGAAAATACAGAGAATGAGAAGCAGGAGAGGGAAAAAGAACTGAGAGGGACTGAAGTATGGGGGACAGGGAAATTAAATGAGGTGCATAACATTAAAATAGATCCTGGTTTTTCAAACTAAATGGTGGAACCCATGCCTCTAAGGTGTGCTTTAATAGGTCACCTGCATTATTGACAATGGGTTTTGCTTGCTTGTGTCCCAGGAAACAAATTCTTCTTGGTTCGCTGGCTGAAAATGAGTTTACAACCCTGGTCTAGACGAAGTATGCATATCTGCATCCCATCTCTGCCTCATCATTTCACCGACTTTAGGGATTTCAGTCTGACAAATGACAGATTTATCATTTTTCACAATTTATTATTCTATTCAGAGAACATCCCAGCACACAACACTGCAGCTGCATTACTATAACAATATACTCCTATGAGGTTAGAACTATTGAGAATATTATAGTAACTCTGAGAAACTTTAAATAGATGTTCAGTGCATGACATTAAGGATTTTGGGAGATGGCCCTGTGGGCCATCTAAGCTAATTTACAGATGGCCCTGAGCCCAATAGAGATTGCCCTGAAAAATGCGCGCGGACGAAATGACGCACGAAGGGTTTGGGGGGCCTCCCCCTAGAACATTTAGATTTTTGCAGGTCTTAGATGCTGTCTGGTGCATTCTATAGACTGAATTATAAGATGAACCACCACAATATTATATTGTACAATTTCAATTGTATTCTTCATTTCACTTGTTTGTGTTTGCTCGCTTGCATGCCCTGCATAGCTATAATAAATACTTAAGTTGTTGGTCAACGACACTTTCCATCTGATGAAGGCAAATGCCTTCCCAGATGTAAAAAAGTAGAAAACATTACATGCAGTTATAACTGCCAAAACAAACATTATTTACGCTATTATGGCCCCTGTTAAAAATGTTTGTAATGTTATCTGTAAGTTGGTCGAAGGAATGCCTCCTCATCCAGAAGCTGACCGAGCAGACCCGAGCAGACCCGAGCAGCCGAGTGCATCCGCGAAGCACACACAATGGCGACGTCAGAGTTCCCGTTAGCAAGCAAATCTAAATCTCTTCGGTCAAAATGTCCGGTCAAAATAATTTCCCTTTAGCGCAATACCGCTTCAGTTACGCCACTTATGTGACAGACAAGAAGAGTATGTGACATACAAGAGTAGTCCATTCTAATGTGTAACACTTAATGTGGAGAAAGAGATGTGCTGTGTGGGTTGATTGTGCTTTTGATCTGTTGGTAATGCCTCG